AGAACTTCATAAATATGATAAAATTTCATTTGAGCATTGTTACAAAGAAATTTCTTTTTGCTACCTAAGAAATGTAGTTATATGTAGGATGATACCTACTATTAGTTCTAGGATTGTGTTGATCTGCCTAACTGATTCTCTAGATTATAAGGTCGGCAAAACTTTTTCCATAAGGGCAAATAGTAAATATTTTAGACGTGTGGGCTGTGTGGGGTCTCTGTTAGATATTCTTTTTTCTTTTCTCTCTTTTTGAAACAATGCTTAAAACATGTAAAAATTATTTTATCTTACTGCCTCTGCAAAACAGTTCAGGGACAGTATTTGGCTTACAGGCCATAGTTTGCCAGTCCTGCAAATCAATAAAATTTAATTGTTCAAGTGTTATTTAAAATTTTATATTAACTACTTTACTGGCCACTTCTTTCAAATCTTTTATAAACTTGGATGCTTTTATTTTATTTTAAAAGATTTGATTTATTTATTTGACAGAGACACAGCGAGAGAGGGAACACAAACAGGGGGAGTGGGAGAGGGAGAAGCAGGCTTCCCGCGGAGCGGGGAGCCCAATGCGGGGCTTGATCCCAGGACCCTGGGATCATAACCTGAGCTGAAGGCAAACGCTTAACGACTGAGCTACCCAGCGCCTGTAAACTTGGATGCTCTTAAAAAGGTTTTTATGGAAAATATCAAATATATACAAAAATAGAATATAGTATCATAAATCCTATTACTGAGCTTTAAAAACCAACATAACTACCAATTTTATTTCATCTATACCTCTCTTCCTCATTTGTTTGAAGTACATGAAAGGTATCATATCATTATATTCACAAATATTTCAGTATTTTTTGTTATCTTTTTAATCCTTTTGCCTATGCCATACTTCCTTGTTTACTGTAGCTGTTATAGTAAGTCTTGAAGTCTGATAAGGCAAATCCTCCAACTTTTTTTTTTTTTTAAAGATTTTATTTATTTGACAGAGAGACAGGAGAGAGGGAACACAAGTAGGGGAGAGGGAGAAGCAGGCTTCCCGCTGAGCATGGAGCCCGATGTGGGGCTCAATCCCGGGACCTGAGCTGAAGGCAGCCGCTTAACCAACTGAACCACCCAGGCGCCCGTCCTCCAACTTTTTTCTTCCTTTTTTTTTTTTTTGGCTATTCTTGGTCTTTTGCCTTTCAAATAAAATTTAAAGTTACTTTCTCATCTTCTAGAAACAAACATGCTGGGTATTTTATTTTGTTTTGATTGCATTGACTGTGTAGATTAATTTCAGGAGCGTTAACATCTTAACAATAGTTACCTGATCCATGAACATGGTGTAGCTCTCCATTTATTTAGGTTTTTAATTTCTCACATCCGTACTTAGTAATTTTAAGTGTACAAGTTTTATATATCTTTTTGTAAACATATTTCTAAATACTGTTTTTTGCTGCCTTTGGTAAGTTTTTAAAATGTAGATTTCCAATTCTTTTTTGTTAGTACTAGTATAGATACTTTATAGTCACTTATCTTTTTGGAAAATTAAAACATAAGAGAAAAAGCCTTGGCTTGATATATTATGTTAAAATTTCCAATAGTTTTGTGGACATGTCTTTCTGGTGTGCTTTATTATCTGTAGGAGTGTTACTCGATTCTCAGTTTTCTTATAAAAACTTTGTATGAAGGGCACCTGAGTGGCTCAGAGATGAAAGGATGCCTTGGGCTCAGATCATGATCTGAGAGTCCTGGGATCAAGCCTCACGTTGGGCTCCCGGCTCAGCAGGGAGTCTGCTTCTCCTTCCTCTGTCTCTCCCCCTGCTCATGCTCTCTCTCTCTCTGTCTCAAATGAATAAATCTTTAAAAAACAAAACAAGACAAAAAACCAAAAAACTTGGTATGAAAATTGACCAGAGTCCTTTTTAGGCATTATTTCTTCAAATGTTTTTTCTGTCCTCTCATTCTCACCTCTCTGAGATTCCAAAATTTGCATTTAACAAATACAAATACAAGTGAGATGCCTTTTCCTATACTACTTTTAAATTAGAATGGTTGGGCAGACTAGCTTTCTGAGATTTATGGCTTTAGGAATCCTCTTCTGTAGTTATGTAGTATTCAGAAATATACTCTCTGACACTTTTTCTCTCCTTTTTCTTTACTTGTAGCTAGACTTGGATTTTTCAGCATTTTGGGTCAGATAATCTTTACTGTGAGGGATCATCCAATTCATTGTAGGATATTTAGTGGCATCCTGGCCTCTAACTACTGGATGCCAGTGACCACCCTATGGCACCCCTCTTGCCCCCAGTTATGATAACTAAAAATGTTGCCAGACATTGTCAGGTGTCCCCTGGGAGTCAGAATCATTTTAGTTCTAGACCCTGTTTTCTTTGCCCCTTATGGCTCTCTACTGTTTAGTTTAGATTTCTCCTCCTGGCAGTTTCTGCTTGTGTGTTGCTTTGTCTTAGAAGGGAGCTTTCACTTTGTTTTGGGATTTCTGATCTTTGTGATCCTCTGCATTTACCTATAAACTCTGTCATGTAGCCTGTGAAACTTTCCCCCAGTTTTGGTTGCTGTTCCACTCTGAATTGGATTCCTCAATTTGAGGAAGGGGGCAGGAAGTACTACCTATAGGCAATTTGATTTCTGGATGGTCTGGCTTCAGGACTGTCCAAAATCTTTTTTCCTTTTTTTCTTCTTAATGTTTCTGGTACCATGTGGGTCTTGCTGCTATTGGTGTTTGGTCTCAATTGCTCATATTTTGGGGTTCATGAGTGATACGTGGTCATTTGTTTTGTATTTGTTAGCCCTGTTTTATTTTATTTTGGTTTGGTTTTATATGTTTTATTCTGGTTGCTCTTATGTTTTTTTGGAGGGAGGGTTATTAAAAACTGTTAAAATATTAATGTTAAGTATATTAATATTGTTATCAAAGGGATATTAAAAAATGATGTCTCTTTCATTGTCTAATTGCCCAGACTGCCTCTGCCTTCTTAAAATGTGTATTCTAAACATGACAAAAGAAAATGTTTTATTTTTTTGTCCATCTATTTAAAAATTCTTTTTCTTTTTTTAATTAAAAAATTTTTAATGAAGTACAGTTGACATATAATAATATATTAGTTTTAGGTGTACAACAGTGATTTGACAATTATATGTTAGGAAATGCTCACCACATTAAATGTAATTATTCTGTCACAGCAGTATAAAGTTATTACAATATTATTGACTATGTTTCCTATGCCCTATCTTTCAACCCTGTAACATAGTTATTTTGTAACAAAGTTTGTATTTCTTAATCCCCTTCACCTATTTTGCCTATTCGTCCATGCCCTCCTTTTGACAGCCACCAGTTTGTTCTCTGTATGTATGAGTCTGTTTCTGTTTTTGTTTTGTTTATTTGCCTGTTTTAAGAAAACATTTTAAATGATGGGTGAGACTAGTGCCTCATGGCACATGGGCCCTGAGGAAGGCCTAGAGAGGGAGAGGTTGAAAATGCAAGAGGGATATGGAAAAACTCATGGAAGTATTTGTGCCCTGGAACACAAGTATTGGTAGAGGGATTAACTTTGAACAGGGGAGGAGAACAGTTTGTTTGACAGAAGAGATAAAGAGATGAGATTCATTCAGGTACGTTAGTTTGCAGAACTTTGCAGTTAGGAAGCTGAGGAGTCTGCTATTTTCAATTTTCTTAGTAAACTTTATGTAAAGTTATTTGCTACAGAGAATGAGGTAAGTATAGGGGACTTGAGGAAAGTAGTAAAGATTTTAGAACAATGATGGTGAAAAGTGAGAGCAAAATCTAACCAGAGGCATGGAAGCCTGAATGATGCTAAGGACCAACCTTAGGCTAGACTTTATAAAGTTGAAAGATGCCAGTTTTGTGATTTAAAATTTTTTTTTTCAGTTTCATGTTCTAATGTAAGAACTTAGAAGGTGGTTGTTTGTATAGTAAGATTTTTCAGGACCAATGTTAGGTTGATCATGACAAGGGGATAATGTTAAGGCATGATAAAAGAGAGTGGTTCAAGGGATGCACTTTGTGGTATAGACTGGATAGGGAAAGAAATTATACCACTCAGGTGCTAATGAGCTGGGAAGAAAGGGAGGGTTCAGTAGAATTCAGGTCTGTGTGGTTCTGGAACACGTATGAGGGGAGTAAGAAAGTAAGAACTGGACAGGAGATTGAAGCCAAGATAGTATATTGGAATTTAAAATTTCAGAGGTCTGTTCTCTTTTATTGTAAAGACCATGTTATGGCTGTGGGAGTGTAATGTTCATGAAAAATATTGAAGTAAGAGAAATTCAGAAATGGTGGGAGTATGTTGTGATATGTATGTAGCCTGTTGTAGATGAGGAAATTACCTGTGATGATGGTAAGAGTTGGGTTGGAGGGGAAAGTGTAAGCCAGATAGGTAGATGAACAAGGAGATCTATCTATAGATGGCAACAAGAAGACAGGGTTCAAGCCAGTATTGTAAAAATGGGGAAGGAGGGCGGTTTGCATGGGTAAAGACGACCAGGGGTTTTTCTTTTAAAGTTTGTTAATATTTGTTATTGGTGGTATGAATATTGGGTTGGGCAGACTTCTTTTTTAAAGGAACAGATAGTAAATATTTTAGACTTTGCCACTCATATGTTTCTGTTGCATATCCTTACTTGTTTGTTTTTATAACCCTTTAAAAATGTTAAAACCGTTCTTAGCTCATGTGCCTTCCAGAAACAGGCAGCAAGTGAAAATTGTAGTTTGCTGTCCCATGGTTTATACTCATTAAGAATTTTCTGTGACCAACTGTACTTTTCTGTGACTTATCAATGATACTTTACTTTGGGAAAGTTAATAATTATTTTAGTTATTAAGTAACTATTGAGTAACAGTAGTTTTGGAAAATGTTAAGGAGAATAAATATTCATTTTTAAAATACTGTTGTATTTAAAATACTGTGTAAAGCAACACTTCTTAGTATGGTAATTACTTTTACATTTCTGAACAAAATTTTTACTTTTTTTGCGGTGGATTCAAGTTGAGTCAGCAGATACTGGAGTTATTTGAAGCATGTCAGCAGCAAGTAAGTGATTTAAAGAAGAAAGAACTGTGTCGAACACAGCTGCAGAGAGAAATTCAGCTGTTATTTCCACGTATGTTTCCCTATTTTTCATGCCCTTTGTATATACATTCCTACTTTAAATATTAAATAATACCTTGTAATTTCATTCTATTTCTCTAGAAAGCAGACTTTTTTTGGTTGGGTCCTCTTTAAATGGATTTGGTACCCGGAGCAGTGATGGTGATTTATGCCTAGTTGTTAAAGAAGAACCAGTAAGTAATGAAATATTTATTGCAAGTGTTCTTCTCATGTTAAGTCATTTAAGAAATTTCATATAAAAATTGTTGAAGAGGGGTGCCTTGGGTAGCTCAGTTGGTTAAGCATCTGACTCTTGATCTCAGCTCTTGATCTTAGGGTTGTGAGTTTGAGCCCCACTTTGGGCTCCATGCTGGGTGTGGAGCCTACTTAAAAAAAAAAAACCGTTGGAAGGAGAAAACTTGTTTTGTTTTAATTGGTTCTTTGGATTCTCTCTTCATAGTAGTTCAAGGAAAGTCAGGAAATGCTTTTTCTTTTAAGGCATGTGCACATGCATAAATACACATAACAGGGATTTTAGCATTTATTTTTAAGTTGTTAAAGTAAGATGGCTTCACTGTGTTTGCTCTGCCTCTATTTTGAAATGTCATTGGATTGGATATGTTGCCAGGATGCAACAAGAAGAGTATGTGTCAGTATTATTTTGATGTATTTCCTTTCCGTTTGAATTATCAGTGATTCTATTTTTAATCTTTTTTTCCCCTTTAGAACTGCTATGGGGTTTGGAGTTCTTATTTTGGGAATACAAAAACGGATTTCACTGACTTTTAAAAAAAGACTATTGTGATTGAATATATTTTTCTGTGATATTTTGGGTTTCTTTTTATTTAGCAACCAAATTTTGTTATTTAGTTTTATGTTTGTTTGAATTTCCTGTTAACTGATACTCTTGTGTGTCCTTAATACCACAGCAATTGGTGTTCATTAAGCTAACTTGAAGCAATCTCTTTAATATGCTGAGGTCTCTTCTGAATTACCGAAGATTAATTTCACTATAGTTTTAATATGCTTTATTACATTCCACCTCTTTAAAAATACAAAAAATATCTACTGAATCATAATATATATTTTTATTATTTCATTAACAAAATTCGCTTCTAGTTACTGCAAATCAAAGAGATTTATTCCAGGAAAGAAACTGACATGTTTCTAGGCTTTGAAATCATGTAAAGGAAAAACTTTGAAAAAACCCTCGGAAATAATAAACATGGTGAAGAATATTAGACTTTTAATTAAATCTTTCTCTCAGAATTAGAGTTAAACTCTACCCAGCCACATCCTACTAATCCTCTCTTGTTCATATGTTTGAATCATGTTAGAACTTACAGTGAGACACCATAGATTTGAACCTTATCCTTAAGAAGCTTACAGTCTGTTACAGAAAGTTAAAATTCTGTTCTTTTTTTCTTTTTTTTTTTATTTGAAGATTTTATTAGAGAGAGAGAGAGAGAGACAGCAGGAGCAGGGGGGACAGGAGCAGGGGGGAGGGGTAGAGGTATAGAGGGAGAAGAAGAAGGAGAAGCAAACTCTCCGCTGAACAGGGAGCCTGGTGCAGGACTCAGTCCCTCGCATCATGACCTGAGCTGAAGGCAGATGCTTAACTGACCGAGCCACCCAGGCGCCCTCTGTTTGTTTTTCCGGGAGAAGATTGCTTTACGTACATTTATACTAAAGTTAAATGACGTATAAGACTGTTTTAATATTTTTTAAATTTTGCCTTAAGTTTATAATTAGGAATTGATTTAGGAATGTTGATGTGAAAGATGTTTTCTATAATGTAATTTAATGTATACTGAAAAATAACTCCAAAGAAAAGTTTACTTTGTATGGTTTCTCTTTGATGAGAAACGTTAAGAAAATAAAACACTAAATTTAGAAAGGTAATGAAAAAACACTTTATTTTTAACTTTTCAGTGTTTTTTTCAGGTAAATCAGAAGACTGAAGCACGGCATATACTCACCTTAGTCCATAAACACTTCTGTACTAGACTTTGTAAGTTTCATATGCCTCAAGTTCATCTGTCATCTGACATAACTATTTAATATGTCTCTCACTTTATTTTCTGGTAAGAGTTGTTTATCTGGTCAGGATAGGTATAATATGGATCCTTTTTTCCAAATGAATTCTTTTTAACTCTTGTTTAGAAAGATAACAATTCTTTGAGTTTACTTAGACAATAATCCCACTGCATGCACTGGGAATTCAAATATATATAAGCTTCAGTTCTTTTTCTCAGTAGACTATTAGGGAAGCCAAGGCATGAATATGAATAGCTGTAGTGCAAAGTATCTGTGAAAAGCCAAAAGGGTGGTACAGATACTATTCATGTGGGGAAGTGAGAATTTCATCTGTTTTGCAATGACGTGCAGTTTATGACGTCACATTTTAAAAATAGAATCACTGAACATGAAGCCCATAAATGAATTACTCCAACAAAAAGCAAAATTATTGACTTAGGCCATTTTATTGTAAGATTTTATTCTTGAATAAGTGAGCTAACTGGATTTTAATCCACATGTTAAGCCATCTCAAATTATTTTAAGTTTCCACAATATTGTGGACAGTTTAAGTCCCTCTATGTGATGTTGGAAAGAGCTGTGTCCATTTATTCAACAGACACTCCTGTGTCAGGCTTTGACCTGGAAAATACAAAGTCAAGTGACAAGTTATTGCCTTGGATGAGTTATATCTATTGTTGGAGAGAAATAAATGAAGTGATTTATTTTAGTGGACTTAAGTTTTCACATTTGTGAAGTAAAGGAGTAATTCATACCTTAAATGGATTTTCCATAGCTGTTATTAGAATAATCAAATATTAAAAATGAAGGGACGTTAGAAATCATCTAATTCAAAAGTATTTTTGGTTGTTATTTTTCATAGTTAAGGAGAATGATGATCAGTGGGTTTAGTAATTAGCCTGAGGAGTATAGTTTGTTTATTGCTCTCAGAACCTGTACCTGGAACTTGAGACTTTTAACTCTTAATCTTATTTTTCATTGAACCTCATTGAATTCCTGCACACAAATTCTATTTGAAGCCTGACGTATTTTATGATTTTGGTGGTAAAAGCATTATAATAGGAAAAATTATCATTTTTAAGTCTGGTATTATGCTTTTCTTTAGTTACAGCATTAGGAAATTTTTCCTTTGGGAGAAGTTTGCAGTTTCCTTTTTTTATGTATTCCTGTATTTTCCTAGTTTTCTATAATGGACATGTATTATTTTCAAAAAAAATTTTTAAAGTTTGATTGAATAAAAATATGAGTACATGTATTCTTCTACTTAGAGATCATACTTATTTAAATGTATCACTGCCCCATGTATCATGTGTAGGCCTTTCCACATTAAAGACTCTTAAAAAATAGGATTTTTATGGCTGCCATAATATTTTGCCTTGTGCTATACTAGAATTTAGCTATCCCCTTGCTGCCAGCCTAGATATTTTTCATGTGTGTAATGCTGTGATGAATTTCTTTATGAATATTACTAGATATTAGACGACATTTCTGAATTTTAATATAAATTCCTCTAAATGGTATTGGAAGTTTCAGTGTTAGAAGAATGTGATAATGTCCTTCCTTTGCTTTCTTATCAAAGACTGTTTTCTTAAATTGTTTTAGTTTAGTAAAATACTATTTTTTAAAAATGTGTATTGGAACACTATGAATTTGAGAAATATTTACAGGTATTCACATTATCTTTTATCCTTCAGCTGGCTACATTGAGAGACCTCAGCTGATTCGAGCAAAAGTGCCAATTGTGAAGTTCAGGGATAAAGTCAGGTAAGTAATTATTGAATATTCCTTTTTCAGTTGCTTTAGATCATTTTTAGATGTACTTTTGATGTAGATAATTAAGGAATGTATGCTACAGTGTAATCGCTTATCCTCATCAGTTTTTAGAACTGGAGATGATTTTTTGGAATAGTCTGAGCAATTTTTTATGCTTAACTGTACTTATTTATTCTGCTTGACGTTTCGAGTGTTTGAAACTATCCATATTAAAAAATATATATACATATTTACGTTTCACATTTTTAAATGATCTCTTGCCTTTTGGAAATGTAATCACTCTTCAGAACATTGATGAAATTTATGTGTATTCCAAAATTTGATGTGTATTTCTATCAAGGGGGTTGTTATAAATGTAATTACATCTGTTGGTACACTCTACCAGCCTGGGTTCTGAAATTGTTATGGGCATGGGGATTGGAATCTTTTATATAATATCTGAATATAAAATGTAAATTAGGTGTTGACTATTTCATTGGTTAAACAAGATTTGTTGTTTTCTAAAGAATAGATAGGATTGTGATAAATTAGATTTTCTAGTCCAGTTTTATATAAGTAATACTGAAATTGTTTATATACATATAAGTGCAAATATATACATACTTGATCCTCATTATTCATGGATTCTTTATGAATTTGCCTACTTGATGAAATTTATTTTGTAACCCTCCAAATTAATATTAGCTGCATTTTCATGGTTATTTGTACACATGTGCAGAGTGGACAAAATTCTGAGTCACTAAATGTACAGGTTCCTAACTGAGGTTAAACAATGTAACAGTCTGCCTTGTTTCACCTCTTACACTGTAAGCGATGATTCTTTTCATTGTCCAGTTAGTGCCATGTTTTTTACATTTTGGTGTTTTTTATGAGTGCCTTTGCTATTTAAAATGGCCCCCTGGCATAGTGCTGAGTTACTGTCTATTGTTTCTTTGTATAAAGCTGTGATGTGCCTTATGGAGGAAATACATGAATTAGATATGCTTTGTTCAGACATGAGTTATAGTGCACTTGGCCATGAGTTCATTGTCAGTGAACAAGTTGTCTTTAAATGGAAACACATAAAAAAAAAGTTAGGTTTTGATCGATTGATGAAAATGTTTTGACTGAAGGCTTGTGGAAACCTAATCCTTTGTTTCCTGTAGGAGCTCTGGTTTTGTATTCACTAATTCAGTATTTACAGTGATGTTATAGAACATAACTACTGCAAATAATTAGAATTGACTGAATATATATATTTTAAACAAATCCTTAGATATATGCCTGGCTCACACCTTCCCCTCCATTCATCCAAATATCCATCCAATCTATAAATATTTATTGAATTTTTACCAAATACTTTATAGGGAGGTAAACTAAACATATATAAAATTATTAGCTTATTATAATCATTTTAAAAAATATATGGTTATAGTTGTCATTATGTAAAAATTTTATTCCTTTCCTTTTTTTGTAGTTTTTAAAATTTTTTAATTAAAAAAAAATTTTTTTTAAGTAGGCTCCACATCCAGTGTGAAGCCCAGTGTGGGGCTTGAACTTAGAACCCTAAGATGAGCTGAGATGGAGAGTCGGATGCTTAGCCTACTGAACAAACCAGGCCTTCTCTTTTTTTTTTGTTTTAAATTTTAATTCCAGTATTGTTAACGTACAGTTATATTAGTTTTAAGTGTACAATATAGTGATTCAACAATTCTGTGCATTACTCAGTGCTCATCATAATAAGTGTACTCTTTAATCCCATCACGTATTTCACCCATTCCCCCCATCCCCCTCGCCTCTGGTAACCATCTGTTCTCTACAGACAAGAATCTGTTTCCTGGTTTGTCTCTCTCATTTGTTTTTCCTTTGCTCATTTGTTTGTTTTTTTATTCCACATGAGTGAAATTATATGGTATTTGTCTTTGTCTTTTTCTGAAAGACTTAGTTCACTTAGTATTATTATAAATATCTTGTAGCTCCATCCATGTTGTTGCAAATGGTAAGTTTTTTTTTATGGCCGAGTAATATTCCTCTGTGTGTGTGTGTGTGTGTGTGTGTGTGTATGTGTATACACATACATACATATAGATGTGAGATAATATATATATCCATTCATCTTTTGATGGAAATTTGAGTTGCTTCCAAACTTGGCTGTTGTAAATAATGCTGCAGTTAATATCAGGGTGCATATATCTTTCAGATTAGTGTTTTTGTATTCTTTGGGTAAATGCCTAGTAATGTGATGACTGGATTATGGGGTAGTCCTATTTTTAATTTTTTGAGAAACTTCCATACTGTTTTCCACAGTGGCTGCTTCAGTTTGCACTCCTGCCAACAGGGCACAAGGGTTCTTTTTTCTCCACCTCCTTGCCAACACTTACTGTTTCTTGTGTTTTTTTTATTTTAGCCATTCTGACAAGTGTGAGGTAATATCTCATTGTGGTTTTGATTTGCATTTCCCTGATGATGAGTGATGTTGAGCATCTTTTCACATGTCTGTTGGCCATCTGTATGTCTTTGGAGAAATGTCTGTTCATATCTTCTGCCCATTTTTTTTAAATTGGATTTTGTTTTTTGGGTGTTGAGTTGTATAAGTTTGTCTTTTGTAAATATCTTCCCCCATTTAGTAGATTGTTTTAGTTTTGTTGATTGTTTCCTCACTGCTCAGAAGCTTTTTATTTTGATGTAGTGTATTTTTGCCTTTAATTAACTTGTCTCAGGAGACACATATAGAAAAATGTTGCTATGGCTGATGTGGGAGAAATTATTGCCTGTGCTCTCTTCTAGGATTTTTGTGGTTTCAGTATCACATTTAGATCTTTAATCCATTTTGAGTTTGTGTGTATTGTGTAAGAAGGTGGTCCAGTTTCATTCTTTTGCATGTAGCTGTTCAGTTGTCCCAACACCATTTATTGAAGAGACTGTCTTTGTTTCATTGCATATTCTTGCCTCTTTTGTTGAAGATTAATTGACCACAGAATCGTGGGTTTGTTTTTGGGCTGTCTGTCCTGTTCCATTGATCTGTGTGTCTATTTTCTGGCAATACCAGACTGTTTTGGTATCTGCAGCTTTGCAGTATAACTCGAAATCTGGAATTGTGATACCTCTCGCTTTGTTTTTCTTTTCAAGACTGTTTTGGCTCTTTGGGGTCTTTTGTAGTTTCATACAAATTTTAGGATTATTTATTCTAGTTGTGTGAAAAATGGTATTTTGATAGGGATTTCATTAGATCTTTAGATAGATTGCTTTGGGTAGTATAGACATTTTAACAATATTCTTTCAGTCCATGGGCATGGAATATCTTTCTATTTATTTGTATTGTCTTCAGTTTCTTTCATCAGTGTTTTATAGTTTTTAGAGTGTAAGTCTTTTGCCTCCTTGGTTAAGTTTATTCCTAGGTATTTTATTCTTTTTGGTGCAATTGTAAGTGGGATTGCATCTTAATTTCTTTTTCTGTTGCTTCCTTATTAATGTATAGGCATGCAATGGATTTCTGTACATTGATTTTGCATCCTGCAACCTTACTGAATTCATTTATCAGTTATTGTAGTTTTTGATGGAGTCTTTAGGGTTTTCTGTATATAATGTCATCTGCGAATAGTGAAAGTTTTACTACTTTATCAGTTTGGTTGCCTTTTATTCCTTTTTCTTGTCTGATTGCTGTGGCTGTGACTTCTAATACTCTGTCGAATAAAAATGGTGAGAGGGCATCCTGGTCTTGGTCTTAGGGGGAAGGCTTTCAGTTTTTCACTGTTGAGTACGATGTTAGCTGTGGGTTTTTCAATATATGGCCTTTATTATGGTGAGGTATGTCCTCTCTAAACCTACTTTGTTGAGGGTTTGTATTATAATAGATGTTGTACTTTGTCATGTGCTTTTGCTGCATCTATTGAAATGATCGTATGGTTTTTAGTCTTTCTCTTATGGATGTGATGTGTCACATTTATTGATTTGCAGATATTGAGCACCACCCTTGCATTCCAGGAATAAATTCCACTTGATTGTCATAAATGACTTTTTTAATGTATTGTTGGATTTGGCTTTGTAATATTTTGTTGAGGATTTTTACATCTATATTCATCAGAGATATTGGCCTATAGTTCTATTTTTTTGTAGTATTTTTATCTGGTTTTGGTATCAAGGTAATGGCAGGACTTACAGAATGAATTTGGAAGTTTTCCTTTTCTTCTATTTTTTTGGAGTAGCTTGAGAAGAATACATATTAACTCTTCTTCAAATGTTTGGTAGAATTCGCCTGTGAAGACTTCTAGTCCTGGACTTTTATTTGTTTGGAGTTTTTTGATAACTAATTTAATTTCATTGCTGGTAATCAGTCTGTTCAAATTTTCTATTTCTTCCTGATTCAGTTTTGGGAGGTTATATGTTTCTGGGGAATTTATCCATTTCTTTTAGATTGTCAAATTTGTTGGCATATAATTTTTCATAATATTCTCTTATAATCCCTTGTATTTCTGTGCTGTTGTTATTTCTCCTTTTTCATTTGTGATTTTGTTTGAGTCCTCTTTTTTTTGACGAGTCTGGCTGAAGGTTTATCAGTTTTGTTGATCTTTTCAAGGAACCAGGGCCTGGTTTCACTGATCTGTTCTATTGGGTTTTTTTTTGTGTGAGTTTTTATTTCATTTATTTCTGCTCTAATCTTTATTATTTTCTTCCTTCTACTGATTCTGGGTTTTTGTTCTTTTTCTAGCTCGTTTGGGTGTAAGTTTAGGTTATTTATTTGAGATTTTTATTACTTCTTGAGGTAGGCCTATATTGCTATAAACTTTCCCCTTAGAACCACTTTTGCTGCTTTACAAAGATTTTTGGTCATTGTGTTTTCATTTTCATTTGTCTCCATGTATTTTTTGATTTCCTCTGATTTTTTTGGTTGACCCATTCATTGTTTGGTAGCATGTTATTTAATCTTCATGTATTTGTGCTCTTTCCAGTTTTTTTTCTTTTGATTGACTTCTAGTTTCATAGCATTGTGGTCAGAAAAGATGCATGGAATGACTTCGATCTTTTTTAATTCGTTGAGACTTGTTTTGTTGCCTAATATGTGATCTGTTCTGGAGACTGTTCCCTGTACACTTGAAAAGAATGTGTATTCTGCTGTTTTAGGATGGAATGTTCTGAATGTATCTGGTAAATCCATCTGGTCCAATGTGTCATTCAGAGTCACTGTTTCCTTGTTTATTTTCTGTTTGGATGATCTGTCCATTGATGTAAGTGGGGTTTTAAAGTCCCCCACTATTACTGTATTACTGTCGATTATTTCCTTTATGTTTGTTTTTAACTGCTTTAAGTATTTGGGTGCTCCTTAGTTGGGTGCATTTCTTTTTCTGTTTAAGATTATTATACAAACTTTTTTCATCGTTAAGTGTTCTTTATAAACACCATTTTATATTTTCTATACAGACCTTAAAAAAAAGAAAGTCTACTTCTAACACCCAAAGTTAAGTGATGTGAACATTTCGGTGTAAAACTTTCAGTCCCTCTTCTATGCATATGAATGTATAAGAGTTTTTAAAATTAAAATTGAGATTTTACTTTTTTATTTAATCATACATCATGAATATTTGCTTATATCATTGATTATTTTCTGGCTTCATTTTTAATGGCTTTACAGTAATATTTCATGAGTGAATATATTATGATTAACTTACTTATTCCCCTGTTAGAATAAGCATTTTGTACATAAACTTTTTTCCTATATATAAGATTACTTTAGTATTTCCAGAAGTAGAATTTGAAGCAAGTACTGTGGATATTTTTAAAGCTCTGAAGTCATATTTTTGGAAAAGTTTTTAATTGCAAACCGTCTGTTTTTTCCTCTTTATTGAGTTATACTGGTTTCAGTGTTAGCCTTTCACAGATGCAATTGAAGAATGTGTATCTCCATTGTTTCCATAAGTTCCCAAAGGCAAATATATATGATATCTGACGTGTTAATACTACTATCTGTTTTTAATAATATGCATGGTTGATTGAAAGATTATAGTATTTCATTTCCCAAAACAAAATCTGAATTGGTAAATTTCAATTTTTATAATTAAAAGTTCGTAGAAAGGACTTTTGTTAAGTTTTTATTTTAGGCAGTCTTTTCATAGAAAACTCTTTGCAGAGGAAGTTGGGCCTCATAATGTAATTTTCATTAATCTTTCCTTTTATTTTGGATTTAGCCTTTCTTTGTAGATCCCATCATTATTGCCCTATTTTCTAAATTGTGAATTGCATGGTATCTTTGTTTTCAAAGAAGTAACCCTTCTGTTATGTGTTTGACTGTTCTTCCCAGATATCAGTAGCTAAATTTGGTATGATACTATAATTTATATCTTATTTATGTCTTATCCTTTTTGGAGGGAATATAATGTATAGACTCCTTCTATTTTTTTCACCTGTACTTTATTTGGCATTTTATTTCTTTTGTTTTATTTTTTAATTTAATTAATTTATTTTTTAAAAGATTTTTAAAATTTATTTGACAGAGAGAGACAGAGAGGGAACACAAGCAGGGGGAGTGAGGGAGGGAGAAAAGCAGACTTCCTGCTGAGCAGGGAGCCCGATGCAGGGCTCATTCCCAGGACTTTGGGATCACAACCCGAGCCGAAGGCAGATGCTTAACGACTGAGCCACCCAGGTGCCCCTATTTCTGTTGTTTTAAAGCAAATGACACTTTAATTCCAAATTAATTGAGACTATATAACTCAGTGGGATAACTTGGCCAGAAAGGTTTTTGGTCACATAATTTTGTTTATCTGGACAGGACTGCAAAATTTTAAAATTTGTTTTATTAGGGATAATTGGAGACTTAGTGTAGTACGTTGTGGATCTTGCAACTGTAATCCTGTTTTATATTTTTAAAATACACTAAATCATATGTACTGAGTATGTATTTATTCTTATTTCTTTAGTGCCTCATTTTACAGTATTTGGCCTTTGGGCTCATGCCTATTTTTGCATCATAGGGTAGATGAATATTAATTCAGTTACTAGGGAGTTTGTTTCAAAACACTTGAGCTAATGTTTCAGAACACTTGAGCTAAAGTGTATTTCTCTCTTTTTCATAGTTGTGTGGAATTCGACTTGAATGTAAACAATATTGTTGGAATAAGAAACACATTCCTTCTCAGAACTTATGCATACCGTAAGTTTTTTGTTTCCAAATAATAATCAGCCTTCTCTATCCTTCATTCTTTATTCCTTTTTAAAGATGTAATAAATACTGACATCTGTTTAAATATGTTTATATATAGTGTCTTTTATTATATGCATAATACTTTGTTACACTAAAATTATATACTACTGGAGTTATAGGTCAATAAAACAAATTTTAGTAATTAATAATTTTTAAAAGGTGACTAATACCTTTTTAAAGCAAGACACGTTTATGGTGAACACAATGTTTAATAAATAGGGAGGCAGTGCTCTTTTTGTTGTAGTTGGGAAATGTTATAAGCTTTCAAAGACACCATAATATTTCCTTACCATTTTTAAGTTTTAATTTCACTTTCAGTTGAAAATCGAGTTCGTCCGTTAGTACTGGTGATTAAGAAGTGGGCGAGTCACCATGAGATAAATGATGCCAGTCGTGGTACTTTAAGCAGCTATAGTCTTGTATTGATGGTTTTGCACTATTTACAAAGTAAGTATTTTGGGTTCCCCAATTTTTAAAATGAAAACACAGTTAAACTTCATTATGATGTCTTCTCTGTTGCCTCTGTCTTCAAATAGCATTGTTTTAAAAAGTTCTTTCTAAGGCCTAGAAAACCATGTTTCCTAATTCGTTGCTTTGAACAAATGTTTTAGAAATATTATTCCCTGGGGGTGCCTGGGTGGCTCAGTCAGTTAAGCGTCTGACTCTTGATTTCGGCTCAGGTCGTGATCTCAGGGTTGTGAGATCAAGCCTAACGTCAAGCTGAAGTACTTTTTGGAAAGTACTTATGGCTCAAGCTTAAGGTTCTCGCTCTCCTTCTGCCCACCGCATCCACCCCCTCCCCCCAAAAAAGAACAAATGTTATTCCCTGGAAAACATTATAAGGGAAGTTTCACTGTGTTTTTTGACAGTTTTTCAGTATTAACTTTTGTATTCAAAGAACTTTTTACCTCTGTATTGTTGACCCATTATGTTGAGGCACATGCATGTTCAGAAGGTCTATAAAAATAAGCTCAAGCACCATTCATCGTGTTTTTTTAATTTTCACTCGAGACAGGATTTTCTTTTTGGTCAAAGAAGTTTTATTCCTTGTGAGCTGGCATGGAGATGTGGGCGAAAGACTTGATGTTAATGTAATAGAAGAACCTTTATCAGGATGTCTAGGGTCTGATTTGTTCTGGGTTAATGATATTTCTATAGTTTAGAAAGCAATGTTGTGATATTTATGTTCATACCCTTTGACTCAGTGTTATTCAGCAATTGCATTTCTAGAAATTTATCCCAAGGTAATATCAGGGATGCAGGTATGGATTTATATATAAGGCTGATTTTCATGGTGTTTATTGAAATAACAGAAGGTTAGAAATAATCTTAAGTTTTTAAGAATGGGGTATGATTGAATTAATTATAATGTTAGCCACTAAAAATGATGCTTTTAGGATATTTAATGATATAAGAAAATACCCATGATATACTCATATACAACGTGATGCCAATTTTATTTTAAAAATAGGATCTGTATTAGAGTTTGTATATATATTCATATGTATATAAACATTGAAAAGTTATGTACCAAAAATTTATCAGAGTTATTTAGGTTTAGTCAGATGTACTTTTTAAGTTGCAACTGAAACTAAAAAATGAATAGACACTAGTTGGGATTTAAAAATTAAATTTGACTACAGCATTTAACATGTCTGAACATCCGTAATATGTGTCCTTTCCTTCCATTTTTATGGGTTACATAAGAAATTTTAATTTGATTGCCTTCTTTAGAAAAATGTACATTAGGGATGCCTGGGTGGCTCAGTCTGTTAGGCGTTGGACTCTTGATTTCAGCTCAGGTCATGATCTCAGGGTCGTAGGATTGAACCCTGAGTCAGGCTCTATGCTTGGCAGGGAGTCTGCTTGAGATTTTCTCCCTCTTCCCCTTCTCTTTCTCTCTCTCAAATAAATAAATCATGGGGAAAAAAAAGAAAAATGTACTTTAATCACAGATTCCCCAAGGTGGTTTGGCAAGCAAGTTGAAAGTTCTGATGTTGATATTTTACCAGTGTTAAGAAATCATGCTAAAATTTTGCTTAGATTTTATTAAATACATTTTATTTTTGACAAAGTAGTCCCATTTACTGAGATGGTTTATAATTAATAGCACTCTCATCAACTGTTTATGGGTCTTTGTTAAAGGACCTCACCTATGCAGAGCTAAAGTATAACTGAATTATTTGGCAAATTTAAGCTGCCCCTCAGTAGAAGAAATTAGACTGAAATTAGTTGCATTTTTTTTTATCATACAGGAGTTTGCAAGATGTACTGAGTAGTTCCAGTCTGCCACAGTGAAGTAGTGTTTGTGATTTTGGCCAAATTATTCTGCCTTTCTGGTCTTAATATTCTTATCTGTAACAGGAATAGTTGGATTGGGTGGACCTTTAAGTTTCGTTTAACTTCGTAAATGCTTTTAATATCTTTTTTGCCATGAATAGAGAAAGGGAGCAGTCTTCTGTATGTAGAAAGGTTGAAAAAAATTAAAGCATTTCCTAGGATGAATTTCAACAGTCTAATAGACTACATATGCTTGAAAGGTGACTGATGAAAGTATGAGGGGTAAAAACCCAATGAGAAGAGTTTTTAATGGCAATCTAAGATTAATAATTAATAAAAAAAAGGCAAAAGTATCAACTGGTAAGAAATAATGATACGAATGAATATTCATAGAATATTTACCATGTTACCAGGTACGGAACTATCTCATGCATTTAAAAATTATTCGTGAATTTTCAAAATTGTTGCTTAGTTGTTGAAGATTTGCACTTTATTTTTTAGTTGAATTTTTGATGAATCAGAATGGAATGTTTATATGTATAACTTTGCGGGAACTTGACCAGAAAGTTTTCATCTGGAATGTAAGCAAAATAAAATCTTGACAGAGTAGTTATTCTGAAAGCGTTATCAATTGATCAGATACTGCAATACCAAGTTTTGTTTTATTTTGCTTTTGAGAGAGAAATTTAGAAGATTGAAGTCCAGAATTTTGAAGTAAAAATAGACGTTACAGCCAGATTCTTCCTGAATGTGTGTTGCTTTGAGTAAAATAAACATTTGAAAAACTACTGAAGTCTTTGAGGTTACTATGAGGATAGTGTTAATAAATAACTGCCACAATACACCAGTTGCTCTTACTGTGTTGGCCTTGAAAAATAAAAGAGCCAGTTTGTTTTTTTTTTTACTGGCACAATGAGTTTATTCAAGATTAGCAGAGGAATTGCAGTTCAGTACAAGCAAACTGGTGACCCAACCATTGGCAAGTCCAGAGAATGGAGGCCAGGGACTTGCCTTTAGAGGAAGGGACGAAGCTGGAAGGGGCTGTTTTCACTGAATTCTCATTGGCTGGGGTGTTGCTGGGCAAGGAAAATTATTTCTTCATCCTGCTGGGGTGTGTGAAGTAAACTTCTTCCTATTAGGGAATGCAAGGTACACTGTATTCCCTTTCAGGGCTTCCTCACACCACTATAAATGAGGTTTCTTTTATTTATTTCCACAAGTGACTAGTGTTTTTAAATCTGTAAGGTTGTCAGGCAAGGGATTTACTGAATGATATCCCTGCCCCCCCCCAAATTTCCAAATTGCTTTTAGTTCTGTTTACTTATTTTTTATATTATTTATTTAGAGACAGAGAGAGGGTGCATCTGAGAGAGTGAGTGGGGGAGGGGCAGAGGGATTGGGAGAAAGAATCTAAAGCAGGCTCCACACTCAGTGTGGAGCCCCATGTGGTGCTTGATCCTATGACCTTGAGATCATGACCTGAGCTGAAATCCAAGAGTTGGTGCTTAACTGATTGAGCCACCCAGGTGTCCCTCAAATTGCTTAGTTCTAAAGGTTTTTTGTCTATTGAAAGACCCTAACCCAGTGGTTAGTATTTGTTTTTCTCTTCTAGCATTCTAGTTATGATTCCAGAATGAGATAAAATTTTTTTCTAATTCTCTATAACCTTTTCTTTATTATTTTTTAAATTATAATTTTACTAGGAGTATTCAGTGAGAAAGGAATTCAGGTTTTTAATTAAGTAAACTAATTTTTAGTAAGATTTTCTAGTTTGACTTCTATATTATAGCAAAAATTATTAGGAAGTCATTAAAAATGTTTAAAGACTTTTAGAATTAAAGTAACTGGGGCTTGAGTTTATTTGTAAAATCTTCTAGAATTTTGAGCATTTGAATGCCTCTGGGAAAAAATATTTTTACTTCCTAAGAGTGGTTCCGGTAAGTAATAAGTTTTCCCCCTCAGTCACACGCTGTGAACATTCCAGGGTATCATGGAATTTTATTTTATTCCAATTTCAACTTGAGAATGAAGCATGATACAGAAGAGAAATTTAAATACTATGAAATAGGAATTTATATGTTTATAATCATAGTTGGAGATTATGTAACTTGGTAATAATGGTTGATTATATGTATATTAACATATTCCAGAAGTCATTTAAAAAGGTTTTTGCTAAATTGCAAATTAAAGATAACGATGGTTACTGAATTTACTTAATTATATACAATGTATTTCTAATTCTTAAAAACATAGTTTATAATATAGTATTATATTTGGTCTTTAATCTTAAAGAAATCTTGAAAACATACTACTTGTATCTTACCATACTCAAGACATTGTATTTTACAGTTTTTTAAATTGTGAATATTAAGCACTTTGCCTTTCATGTTATTCCCTTTATACTATAATGACGTGAAATTACTGTTAATGCATTTAATGAGGTTGGATTTCGGTAAAGCTATTGGAGAATGAAGAATGACAATTAAAAAGAAAGTAACATATGAAGATAATAATTCCCTTATGTGAAATTTTTATTTTTTATAGCAAATTGGTATAAATATCCTGATTTATATTTCTGAACTTTGCTGAGGCCTTCTTTTTAAAAATTTGTGAAGTTGAAGATTTTTTTTTCAGTTTTTCTCCCCAATAGAACTATTTCCTGAAACTATCTAAATTTTGGTATTATTATTTGAATAAATTAAAAATAAAGGGACAATTATGATACAGCTGTTCTTTCATGATACAGTATCATTGGACTGTATTTAAAAATTTTCTTTTTGTTAGCTACATTCATCTTAACAATGTTCATTCAGTATCTGTAGAACAATCCTTGTCTTGCTTATTTTGTGTGTGTGTCTGATGTTGGACCAAATGATGTGTGTCCATTGATGGCCTATTTTTCCAAAACCATGTAAGGAACATTGGTTTACGTAGAAATATACATAGTTTATTAACAAACCTTAAGTTATCAACTTAGATATATTTGGAATTTAAATTTTTAGGGATCAGAATTAATTCACAAAATATATGGAAACTGTTGAATTTAAGCAGAAACCCTTATGCCTGGGGTGTAGCTGACAAATTATTGCTTTGTAAAATGAATAATGTGAATCACGGAAGCTTTAAACTTTTTTTTTTTATAGCCCTACCTGAACCCATCCTTCCATCCATCCAAAAAATTTACCCAGTAAGTGTTTCTTATGAATTATTATAATACATATTATAACAAGTATATGTGGAACTATTATATGCAGTATTAATGTGAATATAAAAGGTGTAATAGTTGCCTTCTAAGTATATGATAACATTTTCTATATAGGCTGAGGAGTTTGCCACTAGCACATTAAAAATATTTCGTATACTTTTTTGAAGACTGTGATATTTTATTTAGTTATTGGCAGACAGTCTGGTCATTTATGTAAATGGTAGAATTTTTCGCGTAATGCTCATGATTATCACTAATAGTAATTAAATATAGGCTCGGTTAGGCTCTTTCTAGTTTTCTTCATGCTATTTTCAAATACAGTTTTATAGCATTTCTTTAGTTAGTGACTAAGAAGTTTTCAACCCAATGTATGTATACTTTGAAAGCAGGGGAAAAAATTAAGAAGTTGAACAATTGGATAATCATTTTATCTTTCATTTGATTTTACCAAGTAATCCACCAAGAGTAGTAACATCAGTACACTCTTTGTGTGCTTAATATTAAGATTCCTGAAGTTAATTGGAAACATTAAAGAAGTAAAGTGTGCTCACTAGAAAAAGTTTGATATGTACTCAATTTGAGTTTAGAAAAACCTAGGTAATATACATATTCACAATCTTTTATACTGTTGTTTCTTTTCTAGTTTTTTTGTGTTCTTTTTTCCAGAATTCTATTTCCTTGTTTTATAGTCCTACTGTTTCTGTTTTCCTCCATAGTCATCCTTATTCCTGGTTTTATTTGGAAATAGTATTTAAGCTGTTTAGAATGTTTAACCTTCTGAAACCGTATAATTTTGACCTGTTAGTTTTATAAACTTACAAAAAGAGCTGTTTTCTAAACTTACTAAAGAGTCAAATTGGAAAATGTAATATCTAGCTTGAGTGATCAATTTTCAAAGGACATACTTACTCTCTGTATCATACAAAATATAAATCTACTTGACGTGATATCTAAATTAAATTTAACTTAATATTTGATAATTGAGAAGAACTGATGTTCTTGTTTTTGAACATGGGTTATTATTGTAATGCATACATGCCAGGTGCTGGATAATAAAAGGTTCACTGTAATAGAATTTTGCTGTAGTGGGGGCTTCCCAGTTTGTGGTGGGTCATCTGGTAAAGACATCTGTAAGAATCTTTTGGAGTCTGGATATCTTATCCTCCTCATTTTGAAAACTAATTTCTGCTATTATGAAGAACTATTACAATGAATTTCAGTTATTGCTAGGGATCAGTATTTATGCTGTCATAGACATAATGAAAATGAAAGCATCAGAAGGTGTAAAAATAAAAGTAACTTGAACTTTTGGCCTTATCCTTGAATGCTTTTCTCCTTGCAATAAAGTATTGTTTCTTTAGCTTATACTGAAAGGTCAAAGATGATGACTGGGTGTTACTATTTCATTTTTTTGTCTCAGTTTTTTTGTTAAGACCTAGGTTTCAGTATAGAAGGAACTATGTATATTTTTCAGCATACAAAGCATCTAATAGTTAAACTTATCCTTTAAAGAATCTGTTATTGTGTATGGAACAGACGCTTTTACAGAAATCTCACTTAAAACCCTTGCTGCATGAACTCTTTTTACTAATACAAAATACTAATGAAATCTCAGCTTAATGCACTGTGCTGGAGAACAGAACAGACGTATTGCTTTTATTATAGGATACCCAGGTTCTTACTGGTATATTCTAGTTTGAGGAGCCTCATTTTACTTCTCTTTCATGTTTCTCATTATCTAGCTTTCCCCCATGATAGAGTCCTGACTTCTCTTCACATACACCATCTCTCACCCTATACTCTCCACCCCTATTTTACTAATAATCTTATTTCTGTACCTGTAACAGGGAAATAGATTTAATATTAGTCTGGCAAAAGGCCTTAAAAAATACTAATAGGAAGACTTGCTAGATTTAAGAATATCTTAATTTGCTTTCAGATGTGGTTACATTATCATAAATATTTAAAGTACATTATTTTTACTATGAGATTGATGCTTACGTGGGTAAGGACTTACTATCCACTCTACAGGATTTTAAATTTTATATGAAACCTGTAAGCTGATTGATCAGTAGAGCACTTTTCTCAGTGGTCCATCTAATGGAACAAACAGATCAGCTTATTTCTTACTACTAATAACTGTCACTTATTTACTATCTGTTTTATGTCAGCACTCTATAAATATTATATGCATTATCCTTAATCCTAAACAAATACACTTGTATTATCCTTGATTCACAGCTGAAGAAACTAAGTCTTAGTTTAAGGAAGGTTACATTATTAATTCAAGCTGTATAGTCACAAATTATGAATCCAGAAACTGATATTTTTAAAGACAAAATGATAGTACTATTCACTAATACAGTTTCTGTTGCTTATTACATTTTATGTATATCTGATTGTTCCTATACAGATATACCTTTCTTTAAGAACAACATGTATGACAAAATTTCAACTTGTATAAATGAGTTTGAGAATGACTTAAAACTTTATAGTAACAACAAAAAAAAAACCTTTGTTATTTTACAAGGGAACAAGGTTCTTTTAAATTTTGAGCTTCTCTAATATAGTTAAATAGAATTAAAAAGGATAAAAACTTTGGAATAGAATAACATTTGTTCAATGTATTATGCTTTTTTTTTTTTAAGATTTTATTTATTTATTTGAGAGAGAGAGAATGAGAGATAGAGAGCACAAGAGGGAAGAGGATCAGAGGGAGAAGCAGACTCCCTGCTGAGCA